ACTTGCTGAGCTGATGAACTCTGAGATGAGACGCTTAGGCCTAGAGGCTGACCCAGCCTACCTGAGGCCACGAAGCCCACTAGGTGAGGAGCGTGGGAACCCCAGTCCTTGGCCCATGGTCAACTCGGGTGCTTCCCAGGGAGAGCAGAGCCTGGGGCCAGTGAGGAGGACACTGGACGCCAGTTCTGGCCCGGAGAGGCCGGTGTATCAGCGCTGCAGAGAGCACCAGGCTGGCCTCAGACACCGTGCCCGAGGCCTGCGCGGGAGTGGAGGGCGGCCTCTCGGCCACACCTGTCCCACCGCAGGCCCTGGGGTGGGGTTTCCTGTCTGTGCTGGAGCTGGGTCAGGCTCCTCACTTCGCCTGGGGCGATGGCCCAGCCAGCCATGAGTCACCAGCCCAGCCTGCCGGCCTGCCTGACAGACGGGATAGACTGGCGGGAAGGAGCTGGGCTGGGAGTCTCCTAGCTGGGCCTGGGCCAGCTCCTTCCTGGGAGTGGAGGGAAGTGGCCTCAGGCCTCCAGGAGAAGCTCCCACCTGGCCCAGACATGCCTCCCTCCTCCAGCAGGGCAAGTGGGTGGAGGGCCAGCAGGGCACCTGAGTGGTGGGGAAGGTGGGGGAGGGGAGGGGATTTCCGAACCACATTCGCCTAGGCCTGGGCATCCCAGACCCCTTTCACTCCACGCTGCTCTGTCATGTCACGGCCTTCTTCTCTCCTGGTCTGAAGTGTTAATATCTGTGAAATTGCAGGCTTCATGTCTTGGCTTTGCTTTTCTAACACACACTAAAATAAATCATGCGTGTTTTACAGTGTGTTGCGCCATCTGTGGGTCACGGCAGGCCCTTCTGGCCTGGGGGCAGGCCAGCCCTTCCTGTAGGGTCCAAAGAGAGCCTGAGTCCCTGGCTGGGCTAACCTGGGCAGGGATTTTCCCGATGGGCAGCCCCAGAGAAGGGAGGCTGTGGGCTTGAGGAGAGGCTGAATCCCCAGCCCAGCCTTCCTCGGGCCCCCAGAAGCAGCCTTGCCAGGCAGCCTGTGTCTGCCACCCTGGGGACAGTGTGCAGGGCAAGGGGACCAGGACGGGCCTCTCTCCAGCGCCACACACCCGCCCACGCCTCTCCTGGAGCCGCCCCATCAGAGCCCCTGGTAGACTCCTCTCCAAGTCCCCTCCCCCATACTCTGTGGCCCCAGGTGGCCCTGGCCAGCCTCTCATCCCTGGCCTTGCCATCCTCACACACGGTTTGTCCCTAAGCTGCCTTGGCTCCCAGGGTGCTCAGTGAGGCCGTGGCTGATGGCCATGGAATCTTACATATCAAGGGAGACCCTCGAGGCCCCGCCCCCACCCTGGCCCGGAGCCAGGTGTCCACCAGGAAAGGGCTGCTGCAGCCCTGCAGAAAGGCACAGAGGGTGCCCTGTGGGAGAGAGCCCCACCCTGCCGCCCAGCCGGCTGCTGATTGCCTGTGAGCTTAGGCTCTGGGGCACACAGGATGCCCCCACCCCTGCCTGGCCACCTCTTGCCCAGTCCCTGCTCTGTCAAAACCAGTCACGTGATCAGCACAGGGCACTGCGTGCTTCCTACAGAGCTGTGAACTCTGCCCCTGCCAGCCCTGCCCCTGCCGTGGATACCCTAGGAGTGACTCAGGGGGAGCAGATACACGGGGTGAAGGGTGGAGGCTCCAGGCAGGTAAGGGTGGGCTGGGATTGGCCCCGCTGAGATCCCCGCTGAGGCTGATCTGCGCCGTCTCCCCCAGGCAAGCCTATAGCTGGTGAGGACTGCCTCTACTGGACCCCCACTGCCTGCCAGTGCTGGCCTTAGCTGCCGCCGTGATCACAGCTAATCCTCTGAGAGGCAGAGGCTACTCCGTTCCCAGATAAAGATGAGGAAACTGAGGCACAGAGTGAGGCAGCCTCCTGCTCAGATCCCGAAGCTGGGGAGGAGCAGAACTGAGGCCCTCCCAGCAGCCCCAGCCGCTTCGGTCCTCCTGCCAGGCTGAGGCCGGGCCATGTGGTCTCAGAGGCCACCGCTCCCACCTCACCGCTCCTGGCTGTTCCTCACCCAGCAGGCCCCATCTTGGCCCAGGAATAGATACAAAATTCTTTTCCCTGGAAGGTTAAACTCTGGATTGAAAAAACTAGTGGGGTGTGATGGCCTCCCCAATAGCAGCCCATAGGCCGGGTGCGGTGGCTCACACCTGTATATCCCAGCACTTTGGGAGGCCAAGGAGGGTGGATCGCCTGAGGTCAGGAGTTTGAGATCAGCCTGGCCAATGTGGAGAAACCCTGTCTCTACTAAAAATACAAGTTAGCCGGCTAGTGGCGGGCACCTGTTCCCATATGACTCAGTGATGCCACTCCCTGGTATAGACCCCAGAGAACAGAAGACAGGGGCTGGCAAAGACATGGAAGCGCCAGAGTCCACAGCATCCCTGGTCACAGCCACCAGGAGGTGGAGCTCCCAAGTGCCGTTGACCGATGAGTGCACAGACACACAAGACGTGGTCCAGCCACACGCGGAGCAGTGTTCAGCCTGGAAAAGGAAGGAAATCTGACACCCGCTACCGCGTGGACGGACCTCAGGGGCATTATTCGAAGTGAGGAATTCCAGACAAAAAGGCACACGGCGTGGTTCCACTTCTGTTCAGCATCTAGGACAAGCCACTGGCAAAGACAGACAGTAGGTTCGGGGTCCCCAGGGACTGGCAGGGGCAGGGGTGGGGGATATTGCTTAATGAGTACAGAGTTTCTGTTTGGGATGATGAAACGTTCTGGAAATATTAACAGAGAGAGGGGGCAGTCGCTCCACACTGTGAATGGACTTGATGCCACTGAATTGCACACTTGAAAATGGTTCCGTTGGGGCCAGGCGCGGTGGCCACGACTGTCATCCCAGCACTGTGGGAGGCTGAGGCGGGTGGATCACCTGAGGCCAGGAGTTTGAGAGCAGCCTGACCGATAGGGTGAAACCCCATCTCTACTAAAAACACAAAAATTAGCCAGGTGCGGCAGTGTGCACCTGTCGTCCCAATTACTCAGGAGGCTGAGGCAGGAGAATTGCTCGAACCCAGGAGGTGGAGGTTCCAGTGAGCCAAGATCGTGCCACTGCACTCCAGCCTGGGTGACAGAGTGAGACTCCATCTCAAAAAAAAAAAAAAAAGGGGGAACCCGTGCAAGGCCAGGAGGGGTCTTCCTGCAGCGCCCGTCAGGCAGGGTCACTCTGAGGGTCAGGCCCGTGGGCAGCAGGGATAATAGGCAATGCCTCCAACTTGGCCTTTTTTCATTTTTAGAGACAGGGTCTTGCTCTGCCGCTCAGGCTGGAGTGCAATGGCCCAATCACGGCTCATTGCAGCCTCAAACTGCCAGGCTCAAGTGATCCTCTCATCTCAGCCTCCCAGGTAGCTGGGACCGCAGGCACACGTCCCCACACCCAGCTAGTTTTTGTATTTTTAGTAGAGATGGGAGTTTTGCTGTGTTGCCCAGGCTGGTCTCAAACTCCTGGAAGCAAGCCATCCGGCCGCCTCAGCCTCCCAAAGTGCTGGGATTATGGGCGTGAGCCATGGCTCCTGGCCCACTTTGCTTCTTATTCAAAGGCTGGATGGAGAAGAAGGTGAAACCATCAGGGCATGGAAGGCTGGGGTCAGCTTCGGTCTCTTCCTGCGCCCTCCTCTGCCTGCTCTCGGGCTGCTGGGCAGAACTGGCTAAGGTTGGTCAGGCGGCCCCCTTCCTCTGGCCTGCGTCTTCCACTTCTTTCCACCACCAGGGAACTCTTGGAGGTGGACCCTGGCCTCGAGCATGTGCTGGCGGGCATGGCCTCCCCTGTGGCTGAGGCTGAAGCCTCGCCTGGTTGTGGATTGGGTTTTGGGGGCTCCAGAGTGTGAGCCTGAGCCAGAACCTCCTCCTGTTGCCACTGGCCCTACAACCCTGGCGGCCGCGTGCAGGCATTACCCTTCAGTATCTGTGCCAGGAACGACAGCTGCACACGTGTCACGAGACACACAGGCTCACGTGGCACTCGGTGACGGCCAGGCATCAGGTGATATCAGTTGTTTGGGGATGGTCCAGCATCTCCCAGCATCTCAGCACCCCCCAGAAGGAAGGGGCCTCTCCAGCCGAGGTTGCAGGGGTGTGCCTGGTGCCTCGCCACAGTCAGGTGGGTGGCATGGCCGGCCGCTGTAAAGGGGAAGCCACGGTCTCAGGCCGAGGCGGCTCCTGGTCGGAGCACAGGTCGCTGGCCATGCCACGAGGCATCTGACTGCTGTCGTGTGACCTTTCAGGTTTACTCTCTGGCTGTTTGCCAGCTGTGCCGCCTCGGGGCAGGCCGACTCACTTCCGCCATCCTCACTGAAGCCTCCCGAGTTGAGATCATCTTGGATTAGTGTGCCCTAAATCCAATGACAAGTGTCCTCAGGAGAGAGGGGAGAGATGTCGGGGAGGAAGGCCTCTCCAGGACAGCAGAGATCGGAGGGATGCCTCCGCAAGCCAGCGACCACCAAGAACTACCAGCCGCCCCCAGGAGCTGGCAGAGGCAGGAGCAGATCTCCCTCAGAGGCTCCAGAAGGACCCAGCTCTGTGCCACCGGGACTGCGGGCTTCTGCCTGTGGCACTGCGAGGCAATAAAAGTCTGCTGCTTGAAGCTACCGGGTTGGTGGCCACTTGTCACAGCAGCCCCAGGGCACTCACAGGTCACTGCTGCAGGACCAGGGACAGACGCGGGAAGTTGAGTCACCACTGCGGAGTGGCCAGTGGGTGCTAGGACTTCAGAGAGACTCACTGAGCAGGTGGCCAGGGCACCAGGTAGGGAAGGGTGGGCAGGGGGCTGTACTCCGGCCAGGCACCCTCCAAAGCCTGAGACTGGCTTCCCCTCCACAGCGGCGGCCACCGACACCCTCCGGACTGTGCTGAGGTGGCAGGCCCCAGGCACACCCTTGCAACCTTGCTGGTGAGGCCCCTTCCTTCTGGAGGACCTGAGATGCTGGGAGATGCCAGGCCATCCCCAAACTCACAAGGAATGCATTTGCGGCCCTATGTGAAGCCCATGCAGGTGGTGCCATTGTTATGCCATCTTTCCTGCCCGTAGGCACCCCATTTACCCCCAAGGCCAAGCTCAACGGCCGCCATGGGGGCCCCCAGGCTCCGGGACAAGTCAGGGCTGCCTGCTGCCCCTGCACTCACTGGGGGAATGTCTGTTGTCCCTGCCCCGAGAGGCCTGGGCCTGGCTGCTGGCTCCCTGAGGAGGGCCTGTGTCCAGCCCAGCTGGGTTCTGCGGTACAGGCTGCCGGGCAGGGACTCGAGTGCAGGAGGCCCAGGCCCGGGGTCCAGGGCCGGGGTCCTCAGTGAGCTTCTGTTTCCTCCTCAGCTCTTCTGAGTACTGGAGGAATCACTCCAATCATAGTCTCTAAAGGCCTTGGTGGCCTTGAAGGCTGTCTTGCAGTTTCTGTGGGTGGGCTTGCAAATGTTCCCAGCACGGGTGAAGATGGTGACCTCAGGGTCACCATCTCAGGACGGAATGGTCAAGATGGAGAGAGGACCCTGGGGACTCCCTGGGCTGTCAGACCCTGGACAGACCCCCCGTTTGGCCCTCCACTCCGTGGCTGACCCTCTCGGGCCTGGGCCAGCTGTGACACGAGGGGCTGTTCCTTCTGGCTCTGCGTTCAGCGTGAAGTGAGGCATCACAAAGAGAGGAGGAGCCCGCACTTGTCCTGACAATTCCTGCCCCAACAGGAAACAGGCCCCAGCACAAGCCACCTGGCCTCGGTCCCAGTCCGGGCACCCGGGTTCACGCGCTGGGCTGCCCGGTCCCAGGGTGTGGAACCGATTTATTCGGTAGCTTTGCCGCTGATTAGTTGCAGGTGAGTGCACGGCACGTGGTTTGTGCTGTAACAATATTTTAGGACAATTAGATTGAAACCACATTGCTGGCGGCCCCACTGGCGGCTGGCCGCGGCGCTGCACTCTCTCTGCCCTTTGTGGCTCCCGGCTGGCCGGGCCACCCCCACCCCTCCTGGGACCTCCCCATCCTCACCCCCACCGGGCTCCAGACCCTCCTTCTGACCTCCAGCTGACCTCGGCCGTCAGTTGTTCCAGAAAACAGCTGCTGGGAGATTTCCCAGGGCAGGTGGGGAGGGGGTGACCTGGGGGACCCATGTGGGATTTTGAGGATGGACGACCCCCATGACAGTCTCTGCACGCCCCTGTCTCTACCCTCAAGGAAGGGCCCACAAGCACCCGCTCCTCGGCCAACAGCCGCTCTGCGTCCACTGCATGCTGTCGGTGATCCCCGAGTGAGAGGGGCCAGCCAAGGCGAGATGCTCTGGGCCCAGCTCAACCACCGAGGGCTCGGTCCAGGGCTCCCTCGGCCCGGGCGCCAGCGCCACCCAGAATCCCCGCAGGGGGAGTCGGGCCTTGCACCTGCTGCACGGGGGCTGAAGGCAGCCGGCTCCCGCCGAAAAAGCAAGGCCTCGCGGGCTGCCACTCACAGTGCTCCCTCCCACCTGGGGCGGGCGCGTGGCTCAGCGTGACCAATCAGAGGAGGCCCTGCGCCGATCACGTGACGGGGTTTGACAGCGCTGGGCCAATCAGCCTTCTCAGCAGTGGGACTCTGGTGCCAGCAGAGGGCGCTGTGGTCTTTGGTGCGCCCGGTGGGGATGGGGCTAAGGGCGAGGGTGGAGGTCAGGGTCAGGGTCAAGGTCGGGGTCGGGGTCTGGGTCAGGACTGGGCTCGTGGGCTCCCCTCCTCGGGCTGAGGATGACGAGGAGGGCCCGGTGCAGGGCCCGTGGCCTACTCCCATCGGAGCCCTCAAGTGCGGCTTCCGTTTCCGCGCAGGCGGCGGTTGCCTCCCGGGCTGTGCCGGGGACTCGGTGCCGGTGAAGGAGGGTTGAGCGGGGCCGCAGGCGGCAGGCGTCCACCTGGGGAGCCCACTCTCCGCTGTGGTCCGCCGGCCGCAGGCGGCAGGCGTCCACCTGGGGAGCCCGCTCTCCGCTGTGGTCCGCCTGCCGCAGCCGGCGCCCCTGAGAAGCGCAGGTGCGGGCTGGTTTCCAGGCCGGCCTGAGGAACCGGGGCCGACCCATCACGGGGCTTCTTCCTACGCGAGACCCTGTGCCGTGCGCCCCACGGGGAAGTCCAGATTGGAGCGTGAGTGAGACACGGGGCGGGGAGGGTTGCGGTGAGAGCGATGGGCAGAAGGGAGGCGGGACTGCGGCCTCTAGAAGGCGGGTGGGCATCGGGAGGGAGCCAGGCTTCGGGAGAGCTCTGCGAGGGCGGCGGGGCATTGCCGACTGGCGCCCACCCCCTCGGCACAGGTCTGAGCTGGTCCCACATTGATTACTCGGATGCCGTTTGGAACCCTCACTATCACATCATTTCCAAGAGGCCCACAGCGTCCCGGCTTTGCTGGTGCCTTCCCTCACCTTTGTCTGTTCCTGGGGGTCCAGGCTGGCCGTGGCTCACGCAGCCTCCAAGACGGCTCCTGTGGTCGGTCCCCTTTCCCACCACACTGGTTTGCAATCCTTGTCCATAACGTAGGCACCGGGTCACCATGGCCGCAGGGTCACCATCTGGGAAATGCAAATGCAGCCTGCATCCAGGGAGAAGGAGCATGAATGGGGTCCCCTGAGCCCGGGTGGAACAGGTAGCTGGGCCTCACCGGCCAGGGTGAGACCTGGCTCCATCTCCCTGCTGGGCGGCCTTGGCCTCTGCCCACAGCCAGCTCTCTCCCTTTGAGACCCTGCTTCCTGCATGTGGGCTCACTGCCTGGGTTCTGGAGCTTTTGACGGACGGGAGCACTGTGAGTGACAGCCAAGGCGGCTTCGGGTGCAGCATGAGCGTGGTCTTCCGCCCAGACTCCTGGAGGGCTGCTGACCCAGCAGCTGCAGGACAGGCCCTGACATGGCTTCAGTGCCCCAGGTGGACAGAGGTGTCTGTCTACACAGCTTTCCACAAATCTCTGAAGACAAACATGTGGCCGGAGTGGAGAAAGCTGGGGGCTGGGGAGGGGACAGGGGGCGTGTGAGCCTGAGTACGGGCTCCATCACACTGGTAACTCCTAAAAGTAAATGGGGGACTTAAGCCATTGTCACTGGGGTATTAAAGGAAACTGTGACGAAGCCCAAAAGCCACAACCAGGAAGAAATTTATTGCACAAAATGTTTGATATTTCTGTGTGATAAAGACATCATCCTTTTTTATTTTACTTTAAATCTTTTTAATGAGACGGAGTCTCACCCTATCACCCAGGCTGGAGTGCAGTGTCTCCAACCCAGCTCACTGCAACCTCCGCCTCCCGGATTCAAGTAATTCTCCTGCCTCAGCCTCCGAGTAGCTGGGATTACAGGCACACGCCACCATGCCCAGCTAATATTTTGTGTTTTTGATAGAGATGGGGTTTCACCATGTTGGGGTCTCAAACTCCTGACCTCAGGTGATCTGCCTGCCTTGGCTTCCCAAAGTGCTGGGATGACAGGTGTGAGCCACCAAACCCAGCCAAAAAACATCATTCTTAACGAATGTCAAAACACAACACGCTGATCAGAGAAATGCAGATTAAAATCACAGTGAGATACGAGGTAGCACCACACCGCTGCCTGTGTAACTAACATCAGCAGGGCAGACAATATCAGGTGTTAGTGAGGATGAGGAGGAACTGGAAGCCTCAGACTGTGGTCAGAATGTGAAATGGTGCAACCGCTTTGGAAAGCAGTTTGGCCATGACAGAAAAAATTAAACACACACCTACAATGTAACCCAGCCATCCACTCCTAGTGTTTACCCCGACCTTATACACAAGTGTTCATAGCAGCTCTATGTTATGAACTGGAAGAAGCAGCCCAGATGCCCACCAGCAGGTGAGGGGTGCACACGCGGGGCACCCAGACTGGGGGGCTGCTCGGCAGTTGGTGGGTAAAACTGTGGTGCATGGAACAGCACGGATGAATCTCAAATTGCCATGCTGAGCCAGTGAAGCCAGTGTGTGCTGCTGACTCCATTTCTATGAAATTCTAGAAAGGTCAGAACTAATCCATAGTGACCAAAAGTAGACCCATGGTTCCCTGGGGCTGAGATTGGATTTGAGATTGAAAGGAGCCTGGAGGAGCTTTCTGGGTTTCTGAGATGCTGGGTAGGTTCTCTCTCTCTCTCTGTGTGTGTGTGTGTGTGTGTGTTTAAGTGGCAAGATCTCGCTGTGTCACCCAGGCTGGAGTGCAGTGGTGCAATCACTGCTCACTGCAGCCTCAACTCCTGGACTCAAGTGATCCTCCCCTCTCAGCCTCCCGAGTAGCTAGTGTTCTGTGTCTTGATTGTGGTGGTGGTTCCACAACTGTCAATATTTGTCAAAACTCATCCAACTGTACACTTAAAATGGGTGAATTTTCTTGTATCCAAAGTGTCATCTTGGCTGGGTGCAGTGGCTCATGCCTGTCATCCCAGCACTTGGGAGGCTGCAGTGGGTGGATCACCTGAGGTCAGGAGCTGGAGGCCAGGCTGGCCAACATGGCAAAACCCCGTCTCTATTAAAAATACAAAAAATTAGCTGGGCACGGTGGTGGGCACTTGTAATCCCAGCTACTCGGGAGGCTGAGGCATGAGAATCGCTTGAACCTGGGAGGCAGAGGTTGCAGTGAGCCGAGATCACACCATTGCACTCCAGCCTGGGTGACAGAGCGAGACTCTGTCTCAAAATAAATAAAAATAAATACATAAATAAATAAAATATATCTCAATAAAGCTGACTAAAATTAAAATCCATGGTTCTATTTGTCCCCTATCAGATGGCAAGGGTCGGCCGGGCGCGGTGGCTCAAGCCTGTAATCCCAGCACTTTGGGAGGCCGAGGCGGGTGGATCACGAGGTCAGGAGATCGAGACCATCCTGGTCAACATGGTGAAACACCGTCTCTACTAAAACTACAAAAAAAACATTAGCTGGGATTACAGGCACGCGCCACCATGCCCAGCTAATGTTTTTTTTGTA